CCCCCCAGCCCTGCCGGTGCCCCTCACACCCGCCCCACAGCCCCTGCCAGCCCGGACCCGCCCCCAGCCCTGCTGGTGCCCCTCACTGCTTTGGAAGGACCTGCCCCCCCAGCCCTACCGGTGCCCCTCACACCCGCCCCACAGCCCCTGCCAGCCCGGACCCGCCCCCAGCCCTGCTGGTGCCCCTCACTGCTTTGGAAGGAACGAGGAGGAGTCCTGTGGCCCCTGGCAGACAACAGGGCAGGGTCTTTCCTGGGGCAAGCCAAGCTCCATGGCTCTGCTGACGCGGGTTTGAGCCAGGCGTGCTTAGGCCGATGGCTGGGCTAGTCTGCAAGTGGGGCACAGGCCTGCTGGCTGGGTTGTGGGGAGGTGGCACCATGGGTGCATCGCCTGTGCCTGTTGGATGGGCAGCCTGGGGCAATGTCTGCCCCTCCCCCCTCTGCCCGTGTGTGGGCGCGTCTGACCTAAGAGAAGAACAAGTTGTGGGGCCAGAGGGGGAGCCCCTCCCTTTATTTCCTGCTGTTTCTTCCCCTTAGAAATCCGGCTGGATGGATTCCATTACTGCAGAGTGCCCAGACCAGGTCAGGCCAATGGCCCGTCCAGCCCAGGGTCCTGCCGGCCCACAGCAGCCAGCGCCAGGTGCCCCAGAGGGAGGGAACCGAACAGGGAATCCTCGCGTGATCCCTGCCCTGTCACCTATTGCCAGCTTCTGACAAAGAGGCCAGGGACCCCTCCCTGCCCAGCCTGGCTAGTAGCCAGCCTGATCCTCCATGAATCTAACTAGCTCTTCACATCCTCTGGCGAGGAGTTCCACGGGTTGACTGCACTGCTGTGAGGAAGTGGGGAGTTTTGGGGGTTTAAAGGGGGGTTGCACACAGGGGGGCTCAGTGCCTGGAAGTTACTGGTTTAATGATTTTGTTTCAGAGAACAGCCCAGAGTTGGAGCCATGGTGTCTGGTGCCCTGGTGACCCCAACCCTCCTTGGAGGACACGGCCGGCCGGTTCCGGCCAGACGCCAGACAAGGGGCTGCAGAGGGGACCCCGGCGACCGGCCCAGCTGACCCCAGCAAGGGGAGAACATTGGACGGAGGAGAAGAGAGGCCCAGGAGACCCTCTTACCTGGGGAGAGACAATGGACGGGGGAGGGGCTGTTGCTGGGGAGGCTCTGCTGGGAGACGGGGGCTGTTGTTTTGGGGGGCTGAGGGCAGAGCAGGCAGGACTCAGCTGGCTGCAGGGGAGGCTGATGTGGGGCTGAGGGCCCAGACTGACTGGCCTGAGGGATCCGTTGCTGTTCAAAGCTCAATAGACCCTCCTGTTGGGTGCTGGCTGGGAGTTGCTCTGGTCTAGAGAACGGGGGCGCTGCTCCCTCTGGGAGTGGAGGCCCCGGGAGCCAGAGGGAGGGGACCCCCCGAAGGGGCTCATGGCGGAGGCAGGGGGGGGGGGGGCCCGGGGGGGGCCCGG